ATTGATCCTAGGGAAGGGTTACAGGCATGTTGTCCTGGGGGGTTATGGGCGCACTGACCCGCTACTTAACAAGCCCTTCTATCCCAATGGTCTAGTGACTGGGATTCTGACAGCACTAACAGACAAGGCATACATAGCAGCAAGAATTGCCTCATAGTCAATATCAAAGATAGGTACATCACGCCTAAGCAAGTCTGCCCAGTTGGGGAACTCAGGAGCATCAGGAAACTTGGCGCGCCAGGCGTCGCTAAGCCGAGCGAAGCAGCGCTGCTCAGTGTGAAAACCTGTGCACTGGCGACCAGCGCGGGGACCTGTGCGGATGATATAGGGGCAGCGACCAGGACCCCCAGAAGCCCCACGCCCGGCATACCAGTCAAGAAGTTGCTGGGAAGTGGGGGTCTGGCGCTGACGCTGATGCTGCTGCTGCTGCTGCTGCTGCTGCTGCTGCTGCTGCTGCTGCTGCTGCTGCTGCTGCTGCTGCTGCTGCTGTTGCGGCTGCTGCTGGCCCCGACCACCAATGCCACTACCGCTCCGTCCTCCCCCACCGCCGCTGCTGCCCCCTCCACCGCTCCCAGTACCTCCGCCGCCCCCACCACCACCTCCACCGCCTCCACCCCCACGACCACCCCCACCACCTCCACCTCCCCCGCCGCCTGCACCACCGCCACCTCCACCGCCACCCCCACCGCCCCTGCCACCCCTGCCACCCCTACCGCTGCGACGCTTCCCACTAGGAGCGGAAGCAGCTACGACCCCCTCAGCACCAAGGTAGTCGTGAGCAACAGCTGCGGAGGCGTAGGAGGGGGTGAGAGGGGAGGGGGAGCACCCCTCAAAGAGGGGAGAGCGAGGAGTGCCACGAGCAGCACCTACAGCGAGGATGTTCTTCTCTGCTGCGAGGAGGTGCTTCTCGAAGTCGTCGACAGTGAGAGTGGTGGGGTCTAGCGCTAGGAAGTGGTCCCTGACAGAGCTAAGAGTGTCAGGGAGGCGGGTGACGAGGAAATAGAGAGTGAAGTACATCGGGGGGGGGGGGGGGGGGGGGGGGGGGGGTTGCGGTGCAGAACTCGGCTGAAAGGGCGGCACGAAAGCGAGAGTCAGTATCGCGCAGGTGAGAAACTAGGTCCTCAGCAGTGGTGAACGAGGAAAGATCGGGGAACAGGTATGGTAGCATGAGTCGACCTATGGCTGCAGTGGCCGGGGAGGAGTAGCGCGCAACCACAGCGTCGTACAGTGTCTTAGCAGTTTTGTGCTGGCTGAAATGCGCTCGCTCAGTAATCGGCAGGTGGTTCCTAATAGCTAGGCGTGCAGCAGCATCACGAGTCTGCCACTGGGAGCGTTCTAGAGCAGGAGCATCAGCAGCAGGAGTAACGGCAGTGCCAGAGACGTAATCAAACGGGGAAACGCCCTCTTTGGCATTAGTCAGAAGGAACAGCTGGAGATCGTCTAACCACACAGTGAACTCGATGGGACGACCGTCAGGCTTGAACGCTAGAACGTTAGGCGTCGCCATATTGGCTTAAGGCAGGAGGCAGGAGGCAGCAGGCAGCAGGCAGCAGGCAGAGGCAGCAGGCACCAGGTAGGAGGCAGGTGGTAGGCAGGCGGCAGCAGGCAGCGAGCAGGCAGGCGGCAGCAGGCAGCAAGCAGCAGGCAGGCAGGCGGCATGCAGGCGGCAGCAGGCAGCAAGCAGCAGGCAGGCAGCAGGCAGGCAGCAGGCAGGCTGCAGGCAGGCGGCAGCAGGCAGCAAGCAGGCAGGCGGCAGCAGGCAGCAGGCAGGCAGGCGGCAGGCAGGCGGCAGCAGGCAGCAAGCAGGCAGGCAGGCAGGCGGCAAGCAGGCGGCAGCAGGCAGCAAGCAGGCAGGCGGCAGCAGGCAGCAAGCAGGCAGGCGGCAGAAGGCAGCAAGCAGCAGGCAGGCAGCAGGCAGCAGGCAGGCAGGCAGCAGGCAGCAGGCAGGCAGCAGGCAGCAAACAGGCAGGCGGCAACAGGCAGCAAGCAGCAGGCAGGTAGGCGGCAGGCAGGCGGCAGCAGGCAGCAAGCAGGCAGGCGGCAGCAGGCAGCAAGCAGCAGGCAGGCAGCAGGCAGGCAGCAGCAGGCAGCAAGCAGCAGGCAGGCAGCAGGCAGGCAGCAGGCAGGCTGCAGGCAGGCGGTAGCAGGCAGCAAGCAGGCAGGCAGGCAGGCGACAGGCAGGCGACAGCAGGCAGCAAGTAGGCAGGCGGCAGCAGGCAGCAAGCAGGAGCGGCCTGAGGGCTGCATGAGGCTGCTAGCTGCGTGTGGCGGCTTGCTGCACGAGGCTACAGGCTGCAGGCTGCGCGCGGCCGCAGGCTGCGTGCGGCGATGGACTGCGCGGGCTGCGGGCTGCGCGTGGCGACAGGCAGCGTGCGCGGCTGCAAGCTGCGTGCGGCTGCGGGCTGCGCTGGGCGACGGGCCGCACGTGCGCGGCTGCGGGCTGGTCGCTAAGCTGCGGGCTGCGCTGGGCGACGGGCCGCGCTGGATGGCCTAACCAGGTTGCGCGCGGGCGGCTTAAGGGGCGCACAGGTGGGGCCGAAACGGGCTGCGCGGGCTGCTGAAGCGGCGCACGTGGGGAAAAAAAAAACAAAAAAACAAAAAAAGGACCGCCCCTAGGCGCGCGCGGGCAGCCGAGGCGCGCGTAGGCACTAGACTAGGCAGGCAAGCGTGGTGGGTCCTAATCCTAGGTCCTAAGGACCTATGCTCTATACCATGTTAGAATCGTAGGCAAAAAAAGTGGTTTCGACTATCGAGAGGGTTGGTACAAAGTGGAAACCCAAGGGGTTGTACCCCACTAAGCCTACCCAAACTATAACATATATTACATATGTTTGACACATTGTATCCCCCTCCTTGCCCTAATCCATCTCATTTCTTCCTACCTATATCAACATGGTATCAGAACGAAGGTCTCAGGTTCGAATCCTGGTGTATGCACATGTAGGCCGTTGCCGCTGTGCTCAGTCCTGTGCCTCCAAGTGCGGGGGGGTGTCAGAGGTCCACTGGTGATTCCCGATTGATCCTACAGAAGGGTTACAGGCTCGTTGTCATGAGGGGTTATGGGCGCACTGACCCGCTACTTAACAAGCCCTTTTATTCTAGTGGTCTAGTGACTGGGATTCTGACATGGTATCAGAGCGAAGGTCTCGGGTTTGAATTCCAGTGTGTGCACTTCGGGCATCCCAATGGGGGGGGGGGGTGTCGGAGGTCCACTGGTGATCCCTGATTGATCATAGGGAAGGGTCACAGGCTCGTTGTCCTGGGGGTTATGGGCGCACTGACCCGCTACTTAACGAGCCCTTTTATCCCAGTGGTCTAGTGACTGAGATTCTGACATGGTACCAGAGCGAAGGTCTCGAGTTCGAATCCTAGTGTGTGCACTTCGGGCATTCCAATGCGGGGGGGTGTCAGAGGTCCACTGGTGATCCCCGATTGATCCTAGGGAAAGGTTACGGGCTCGTTTTCCTGGGGGATTATGGGCGCACTGACCCGCTACTTAACATGTCCTTTGATCCCAATGGTCTAGTGGTTGGGATTCTGACATGATATCAGAGCGGTCTCAGGTTATGAATCTCGATGTATGCACATGTAGGCCGTTGCCGCTGTGCTCAGTCCTGGGCCTCCCAGTGTGGGGGGGTGTCAGTAGATCTGCACTGTGGATGCTCGATTGATCCTAGGGGGGTTAGAGGCGCGTTCGCCTGGGGGGTTATGGGTGCACAAACCCGCTACACAAACAATCCATTTTATCCCAATGGTCTAGTGGTTGGGATTCTGCGAGTAAGGTGCCTTATTTAGTCCTCCATGCAATTTTATTGTGGTTCCATTTCAATCTCTGAATATTTTTTATACGTCAAAGTTTACAGTTTCACTCTAAATATGATTAGCTTTGAGCTACAAGCACGGGGCTGGATTTAATGTGTACCTGGTTGAAAAATGTGCCACTTGGGTAAAATGGTGAATAAGCTAAACACTATGAATGGATTGCGGTGTATGTTCAGAATCTAGGCGGTCCGCTGCTTCCCGCCACTCTGCAATTCGTGTCGTGAGGCATCTGAACTGGAGTCGCGTCGCAAATTCGCGTGGCTTCTGACTCACCCAGCCCGGCTCAGCGAGACGAGACCCGTCTCTGCGCCACCGCGGACCCATCCGCGCACGACCCACACCCACAACTGCTCTCCTGTGGGTCGCTGTGCCAGCCAACGATGTCGGTAAAGCAGGATGAAGTGATGGGCTGAGGGAGTTGGCCGAGCTTGCCATCACACACTACTAACAGGGCGATGTACTTGTCTGCTCCAGTAATGTGTGTTCGACAGTCGCCTAGCTGATGCGTACCAGTAGTTGACTGAGTCCCAGTAGTGTTCTAGGGTTTTCTACTCGTGGCAGGTTGTAGGCGGCACACATAATGCATTCAACGCTTGAGTAACTCGCCTCAAGCTTAGTAATAGTCCCCTCGATGCTAGCGACGCCTAATCCAGACACCTTTCGCCGGCAGCCATGCCGCCGTTCAATTCCCGCATAGCGCTCCTCACAGGTGCGATTTCACCTTCGCGTTCCGCCTCGTCCTTGTCCTTTCCTCTCGTCACCCCCTGCGCTGATATAGTCCGCTCTCACAAGTAGATCTCCACTGTTCTCCCATCGCCTTTCGAGAGGCCATGTCCTTTAGGCCCGCTCTCGTGCTCCTCGCCGTCATCTTGTGCCGCTAGCCGTCATCTTGTGCCGCTAGCCGTCATCTTGTGCCGCTAGTCGTCATCTTGTGCCGCTAGCCGTCATCTTGGTCCCCTCGCCGTCTTGTGCGCCGCTCATCGTTGCTACCGCGTCGCCATGCGTCGCCCGTCAGCACATTCGCCTCGTTCCATCGCCATACCTCCTCTCCCCCTCTCCCACGCCGCCCCAGCGGTAGGTAGCCCTCAGACGCGCTCACTCTGCCTCGAATCTCTTGCCCCATGCTTCCCTTGCAGCGCTCGTCCTTGTTACGTCAACGTGTCGGCCGTGCCGCGGCGATGGATGGGAATTGGACCACGCAGCGTCGCACCCGGCGGAGCGACCGTTCACGTGCGTGCACGACTCGCACGTGGCGGCGCGCAGCAGAGAGCACACGCGGCGGCAACTGGCATCGTACCGCACAGGGTGGGTGGGGTGACGCGTGGGCAGGCGCCGGTAGTGTGGGAGTTGGGGGGGTGGAGGGGCAGGTGGAAGAGATGGGAAGAGGGATGAGAGAGCACGGGCGACGAATGGCGCTGAGGGCAGCCCTTCGACTTTGTACTCACGTCCCTTCCTCTCCGCACTGCCCAGGTTCGGCGTGAGGGACTGGGCTCGTCAGCGCCCCTCCCCGCCCTCGCGGCAGCTGCTGGGGAGCGCCACTCCCGCCGCCACTGTCTCTGCCGCCTCCGCTTTCCCCCCTCGACCACTCCGCTTCCACACGGTGCGCCCGCTGCCCCCAACTCACCCCAATTTCTTCTTTCCCGCCCGCTCATGGTTACATGCCCACCCAATGCCCCAGCCGATAGCATGCATATTGCGCCTAATCCCGCCCACCCCCGTTGCGTTGACCGCGTTGACCTCATGGAGCAGGTGTCGTCAGTGGAGCAGGACCTACCCGACGACCCCCTGCGGGCGAAATACATCCAAGGCACGCTCGTGCCCGACACGCTCAGGTACGCACGCTCGTGCCAACGTGCTCTGGTAGCCGCGCCCTCCCGTCGCTCGCCTTCGCCCAGCCTCTCTTCCCGCCTCCCTCACTCCCACCCGCAACCCCTCACCCTACTCCCCTCTCCCGTTCGCTCCGCGTTCTTCCCCCTCCCCACGCACATTCCTTCCCCCGCAACCCCTTCCCCCAGTTACCTGAGTCGGCTGCTGTCCGTGCGCGTGCTGCCGCCCGACCCGCTGCTGCTGCCCGTGACGTGCGCCACGTTCACCGCGCTCTCCAACGGCTCCTCCGCCTGCACGCAACTCGCGCCCATGTGCGACGTGAGTGCCGCCCATGTGCGACGTGAGTGCCGCCCATGTCAAAAACAACATCAATATAGCAAGGGGCCGAGATGTGGGCGGTGGGGATGAGGGGGCGATGGGGAGAGGGAGAGGGGGAAGCGGAGGAGTGCGAATGCCGCAACAGCGTGCAGCTAGCACCCGCATTCACGCCATGTCCACGTGGCTGTTCCTCCGTTATGACGTGGCGTTCTGTGGTGCATCTGTGCAGGCCGAGGTGGACATCGACGTGGATCCATCCCTGCTGGCGGCGCATTCGCTCTGCCAATCAGAGGACCCCGCCACGTGTGGGGAGGTGGCAGCTGGGACAGGCACACTTGGTGCTGACATTATCCTGTTCCTCTCAGCCAAGGTGAGTCGCTCCGCCCACCAACTCCGTCCCTCGCTGCGCTTGCCGCCTGCCCCCGTCATTCCCTCCTCCCCCGCGCCCTCCCGCTTCCTTCCGCAATCTCCCCCACAGCTCCCGTCATCCGCTCCTGCATTCACCCCCCAATTAGCGCAACCCCCGTCCCTCCCGTGTCCCCCTCTCTTCCCCCCCGCCCTTGGCGCGGAGCAGCAAACGGCGACGTGCGGCAGCACGACAGCGGCGGCCCACGCGTCGCACTGCGCGGTGGACCCCGCGTCGAACCGCCCTCTCGCCGCGTCGCTCAACCTCTGCCCGCTGGCTTGGCGCGCCGTGGGGCAGCACTCGCCGTCGTACGACTCGCAGGTACCGCCGGGGTAGAAGAATGCGCAGGGTGCTCGGCGCGTGGGGGGCAGGGGGGGCAGGCGCATACACAACACGCGCGACACGCCACCCGCTCCACCCCGCCAGCCGGCACTTCTACCTCCCTTTTTCCTTACCCCCACTGCCTTCCTCCCTTATCCTTTCCCCCTACTTCCCCCAATCACATCGTCCCCCTGACCGCCACTTCCCCCCGTTCCCGCTTCGCTTCCCTCCCCTCTCCCTCAGGTGCACGCGGTGCTGCACCAGCTCACGCACGCGCTCGCCTTCAGCTCCGCGCTCTTCCCGCTCTTCAAGGACGTGCGAGGTACGCTCTTCAAGGATGTGCGAGGTACGCTCTTCAAGGACGTGCGAGGTACGCCGCTTCTCTGCATTTCCGCTGCATTGCGTCTCCTTGCCTTGCATTCACTCGCTGCTGCTCTGCGTCTCCCTTGTCTCCTCTCCACAATCACTCCTCTCCCATTCCCTGTCACTCCCCTTCCGCCTCTGCGCTGTCCCCTTCCCCTCCCCACGGCGGTCACCAGGCCAGCCGTACGCGCAGGTGGTGGCGACGGCGCGGCAGGCGGACGGCAGCAACGTGTCGAAGATCGTCACGCCCGCCGTGGTCGCCGCGGCGCAGCGCCACTTCGACTGCCCCGCGCTCGACGGCGCTGAGCTGCACTCCCCCCCGCCCTCCGCCTCCACGCCCGCCTCCCCACAACCTTCCGCGGCCCCCGCGGAAGCGAACAGCACGGAGTGGGGGTCGCTGGTGACCGCGGCACAGCCGGAGGACGCGCTGACGGGGGGAGTGGCGCTGGACGGAGTTGGGGGGGGCGAGGGCGGGGAGGTGGTGAGCAGCCATTGGAGCGTGGTGCGCTTCGAGCACGAATACATGGTGAGGTGGGAAGCAGAGAGAGAGAGCGAGAAGAGGGCAGTGGCGGCGAGCAGCCAATGTAAGGCGCCTGTGCGCTCTACTCGGGTCCTCTGCCTCCCATCGCCTCACATGCCTTGCCGCCACTCATCACCCCTCTCCCCATTCCTTCCTTCCCTCCTCCCGAACTCCCCATCCCCCCTCCAGACACCTTTACTTGACGGGGTGCCGGTGGTATCGGAGCTAACACTAGCACTCTTCCAGGACAGCGGCTGGTACGCCGTCACGCCAGGCATGGCGGGCATGCTGCGCGCCGGCTACCACCGCGGCTGCCCCGCTGCCACCGCCACCCTCTCCTGCCCGCCCTCCGCCTCCGCCTCCGCCTCCGCCACCACTCCCCCCGGGTTCTGCTCGGCGGCGGACCTCAACCGCTCCGCCACCTTCTCCGCCGGGGGGAACGTGCGCCATGTGCCCATGGTGGGTCGACTGTGGGGTGGGGGTGCCGTGGGTGACTTGCCAGTGGACTCAACAGTTGCACGCCATTCCTCTCCTGCATCCATCCTGTGCCTTCCCACACACCTCTCGCCTCCCCCCTCCTCACCTCGCCCCTCCCGTCCCTTTCAACCCCCACCCCCACCCACAGCCACTGACGTGCTCCTCCGACTTCCTCTCGGTCGCCACCTGTGACTCGGGCTGCAGCCCCTCCTCCTCCTCCTCATCCCCTGCTACCTGCCTCTTCGGCACGTGCAAGCACAAAACCAGGTACGCCACATTCTCGTGCTCCTTCTCGTGCTCTTGCAAGCCTGTGTCGCCTGCCTTCCACCGCCCTCCTCCGCCCTCTTCCCACCCGCCACCCCCCTATGCCTCATCTTACATCACCTCACCTCCCCCTCCCCTCTCCCCCTCCCCTTCTGCAGTGTGGAGTCACAGCGCTGCCAGGCGCCGCGAGGGGCGGAGGAGAGCAGGTCAGCGGAGGTGCAGCAGCTGGGGATGGCGTACGGCCCCTCGTCCCGCTGCTTCCTGCACGGCCCGCAGTTCTTCGACTATGCCTTTGGTGCTGGCGCCGTGCCACCCCCCGGCGCCGGCTGCTACCCCATGCGCTGCGTCCCCTCCGCCTCCTCCTCCCGTGACTCCCGCTCCGCTGAATCCGCTGATGCCCTCCCCACTGCTCCCGCCCTGGAGCCCGCGGCTGGCGGCAACGGCAACGGCAGTGCTGCCCTCGCCCCCAAGGCGCAGGGCGGCAGCGCGCTCTCGTTGCCCGCCTCTTCCTCCACCCCCAAGCGGCAGCTGCGGGGCAAGGGCAAGGGGAAGGGCAAAAAGGGGGGGAGGGGGAAGAGGGGGGGCGGGATGGTGGTGGAGGTGCGTGTGGGAGCGCAGTGGTATGCGTGCCCCTCAGGGCGCATGGTGGCGCTGGACCAGGGCGGGGGGGACTTCCATGGCGGGTCCATCGGCCCCTGCCCTGACAACCGCCGCATGTGCCTCACTGCCTCCTGCCCCAACGACTGCTCGGGGAAAGGTGCGCAAGGGGTTGGGGCAGAGGGGAGGGCGGGGTGAAGGTAGTGAGCGTGAGGCGGAGCGTCTGCTTTGCCTGCTGTCCTGACCGCCCTGCCCGTGCGTGCCCGTGTGCTTCGTCCCCCTCCCCTGTGGTGAGTGTGAGCAGGCATATGCTACAACAGCACGTGTTACTGCCTGCCCGGCTATGCTGCCACTGACTGCAGCCAGGTGAGAACAAGCCAGGCTTCCTCTACTGTTCGCACATGCCTCCTGCCCCTCCTTATGTACTGAAAGCGCCCCCCTGGCCCCATCTCCCTCCTACCCCCACCATCCCCCCCTTCAGGTGGCGTGTTCACCGCTCTCCCTCACGCCAGCCTCCACCTGCCGCGCGCCCGCCTCCTGCGACCACGCCTCGGGCCTCTGCCTCCTGCCCTCCGGCCGCCCCTCGCCCCTCCCCCTCGCCGCCGCGCCCCCCTACACTCCCCCCCCGCCCCCCTCCCCGCCTGCTCCACCTGTCTTCCCCCTGCCCGGCGCCCCGCCCGCCCCTGGAAGCACCGTCAACAACAGCACCGGCAGCAACACCAACAGCAGCAGCAACAGCAGCATGGGGGGCGAGGCGCCGCAGCACGGGGTGCTGGTGCGCAGCGTGGTGGTACTAGGGGGCGCCAACATCAGCGCCATCCGCGAGGGCGCGCGGCTGCAGGAGTTCCAGGCGCAGTTCCAAGCGCAGATGAGCGCAGCGGCGAGGGCGACGGGGTACGAGGGGCAGGTGGAGGTGGCGATAGAGGCCATCTATGCGGGCAGCATCCTGGTGCAGTCCACTGTCAACTTCTTCCAGGCCACCAGCTTCAACATGCCCGGCGTGCTGCTCCACAACCTCATGTAAGCCGCTCTCGCTCCCCTCTCCCGCTCGCTCACCACTCATCTGTAGGGGGCTGCTCACTCATCCTCGTGCAGAGCACCGTCAACTTCTTCCAGGCCACCTCCTTCAACATGCCGGGAGTGCTGCTCCACAACCTCATGTCAGTCGCCCCCCTCACCTGCTGGGGCCCCTCGCTCGCACTCACCAGTCGTCCACCTCCCCCCACCCACTTTCAGCCATCTGTCTGCTGCTGCCTCCTCGCACTCCACCCCACCAACCCATCTCATCCCATCACATTTCATCCCGTTTCCATCAGCCTGTGCTGCATGCTCTCACCCCATCCCATCTTCCAACTCCATCCCATCCCCCAACCTCTATCGCTCTTCCCACCCTTCTCCCCGTATCCTGCTTCTCCCCCCCACAAACAGCACCTCCCCTGCGCTCATCTTCGCGGCGTCGTCCTACTTCCTGGCGCTGCCCTCAGGGCGCATCTCCTCCTTCAACTGCTCCATGGCCGCCGCCCCCGCCTCCAACAGCGCGCCCCAGGGCGCCGAGGGCCCCCCCCTGGGTATCTCGTACGGCGCGTGGGCCGCCATGGCCGCTGCCATCCTCGTGGCTGGCGTCGCCATCTGCACCGTGCTCAGCCGAAGGGGTGAGAGGAAAGGGGGGTTGATCCAAGGAAAGGCGAGGGGAAAGAAGGGAGGCGAGGGGTGCTGCTATTTCTGATGCTCCGCTATATGTGCTGGCGCTGACTCGTGTGTGTGCGCATGTCTCTGTGTGTGTGGCAGCATCAAGAAGGCGACGCGAGGCGCTACTCTATGCACAGTAAGCCTCCCGTTTCCCTCCTATGCCCCACCAGCATCTGCCCTCACGGCCGTCACTTGTCACACCAACTTGTTGCTTGTCCCCTGCCCTCCCTCCCTCTCCTCTCTTTACTCTCTCCCTCTCCTCTCTTCACTCCCTCCCTCGTGTCACCTGCTCAACCCGCTCCCTTCCCCGGTGCACCCCTCTCCCCCCTGCTCATCACTCCGTGCGTCCCCTTCCGCTCCCCTTTGTGTCACGCAGCGGCTACGATGCAACAGGAGCGCCGTGGTACATGGAGGGGGAGGAGTACGAGGAGGACATGGAGGCGGACCTCGATCTCGACCTCGACCCCCTTGAAGCCTACGCGCAGGTATGTGCCCCCTTCGAGTCCCCTTTTGCCCTCCCTGGGAGCAGCGGGTATGATGCCACGGGGGCGCCATGGTACATGGAGGAGTACGAGGAGGACATGGAGGCGGACCTCGATCTTGACCTCGACCCCCTCGAGGCATACGCTCAGGTACTGACCTCCTCCGCCCCCCTCCTCTCCCGCCCCCCCCAACCCTGCTCGCGCCATGGGCTTGATGAGCACTGGCCGCCATGTGCGGGTGTGTGCACCCCATGCCACTTCTACATGCCCCTCCCTCCCTCGCTCGTCACCCCTCTTTTCCTCTCCCCCCACCTCCCCTCGATCCTCGACCCGCCAACAGCTGGTGGCGGAGGCACAGCAGCACCAGGGGGGCGACATAGGGGGCATGGGCGGGATGGTGGGAATGGGCGGGATGGGGGAGGAGGGCATGCAGGGGGGCATGGCACAGCTCTCATCCCTGCCCTCATCGCTGCATGCAGCAGCCTTCATGGCCGCAGCAGCAGGGGGCGGCGCTGCTCCCCCTCCAGGCCCCTCCCCCCCTCTCCTCCCCGCCAGTGAGCGCCTCCCGTCGCCCTCTCGCCCTCTCTTCGCCCTCCCGTCCTTCTCATCGCGCCGCCACCCCTCCTCCTTCAAGCCCTCGCGTGCCATCTCGGGCCCTATCCTCTTCCACGCCCCCACCACCACCACCACCTCTACCAGCGCTGCCACCATGCCCCGCCCCCCTTCTGGCCCGCTCCTCCCCCCTTCTGCTGCCGCCAGGGAGGCCGCCAGGCTGGGGGACGGCGGTAAGGGGGACGACGACGCGGAGGGGCAGGAGGGGTGTGAGGGGAAGGGCGCAGGGGGGGGCGTGGAGGAAGGGGAGGAGGCGTGGGCGCGGTCCGCGCTGAGGCGGCTGGTGCGGTCGGTGTCGGGCCCACTGGCTGTCATATGGGCGTCCGACCCGCGCCCCCCCGCGCCCGCCACGCCGCTCCACCCCCACCCCTACCACCCGCACCGCCTCTCCGGCCGCCTGCGAATGGGCGGCGCCTCCGGGCGGCTGTCGGGGCGGCTGTCCGGGCGGCTGGTGTCAGGGCGGCCAGCAGGCGGGCCGAGGCGGTCGGGGGAGCTGAGGCGGTCGGGGGAGTTGGCAGAGGGGGCGGGCGCACGGGCAGGGGCCAGGCGGTTCCCCTCAGGCGAGCTGGGCGTGGGGATGGGCGCAGGGGGAAGGCAGAGGGGGATGTCAGGCCCAATCGACGCCATGGGGCGGCCTGCAGGGGCAGAGTTCATGGGTGTGGGTGCGGGCGTGGGCAGGCATGCTGGGGGGCTGGGCGGGGGCACATTGCCCCTGTCCCTCGCGGCAGGCAGCTATGCTGGCAGCTATGGGGGGAGCTATGGGGGGAGCTATGGGGGGAGCTATGGGGGGAGCTATGGGGGCGGTCATGGGGGCAGTCACGGGGGCAGCAATGCGGGCAGCCAGCCCGGCACACAGCCGCAGTCACCGTCCAACCGAGGGGGGTCAGGGCGGCGAGCAGGGGGAGAGCAGGAGGCGGAGGGCAGTGCAGCAGCGGGTTCGCTGAGTGGGATAGAGCCGTCGCTGCTGCACCAGATGCACCTGCACGGCATGCACCTCCCCCACCACCTCCCCATCCACGCTTCTGCCTCGCAGCCCTCCATGGCCGCCCACGGGCATCCCTCACCACAGCCGGGGGCACAGGGCACAGCAGCAGCAGGAGGGGAGGGGGTGCCAGGGCGCATGGTGCGGGTGAGCTCTGCGGATTTCGCTGCTGCTGCCGCTGCTGCTGCAGGGGTAGCAGTGGGAGGGCTGCCACGGGTGGGCAGTGGGGGGCTGCCGGGCACGGGGGGCTCCACGCCCACGCTCAGGCGCGGCCTCTCTGTGTCGCCCTCCCACCGCGCTGCCCTCGTTGCGGCCCTCGCTGCCGCTGCAGGTCAGCCCACTGCCCCACCCTCTCTGTCCTTGCAAAAAGCTCGTGCTTTCTCTCCCCCGGCTGCTCAACCGCAGGCCGTTCCACCCTCACCCCACTGTCCCCTTGTACCCTTGCTCCTATGCACTAACAGAGCCTCCCTGTTCGCACCACCCACTCCCCCCATTCTCCCCTCCCCATCCCCCTTTTCTCCCCCCTCCGTCAGACCCACAGTACCCAGTGGAGGACAGCGGTGCCGACTACGCCCCCACGCCCTCCATGCTGCGCTCCCGGGTTAGTGCCCCCTGCTGTGGCTGCTGCTCCCTGCTGCTCCCTACTCCTTGCTGCTGCTGCTGCTGCTGCTGCTGATGATACCCTCTGCTCCGCACCTCCTGTCTCTCTAGCCCTCATGTCACTCTGCCCTTGTTCCCCACTTATACCTATCGCTATCGTGTTGCCATCACCGCTTCCCCTCTTTTGCGTTGCCACAGAGCATCCGTGTGGGCCGTTCGGGCCACCTCACAGCCTCTGGTCAGCTCAACCCCTCGGGGCAGCTCAGAGCTTCCGGGCAGCTGCGAACGTCTGGGCAGCTGCGGCGGCTGGCGTCCGGGCAGCTACAGGTGCCCGAGCATCTGAACCTGAACAGCAGCACCACTGCCTACCCCCCCGGCAACACCAAGAGCATGACCAACGCCAGTGGCAGCGGGGCATGGTCATACTCAGCCATGGGCCCGCCTCCCCACGCTGCCCCCTCTGGCTCCACAGACACTACAGCTGCTGCGGGTGCAGGGGGAGGAGGCGAGCATCATGTGCGCATGTCCGGGCAGCTCGTGGGTGGGGGGCAGGGGGCTGCCGAGGGAGGCGGTTCGGGCATCACAGGGTCGGGCATAAGTTCGGGGATAGGGTCGGGGATTGCAGTTTCGGGCATGCTGTTGGCATCAGGAACGTGGGGGCAGATGCCGCACTTTGCTCAGCTGAACCGGTCGGGGCAGCTGAGAATACTCAAGCAGCTGGGCACCCATGGTGCAGGCACACCTCCCATGGCCATGCACGCCCACGGGCAGGCAAGGCAATCATCCCCTCGTGCTGCTTCCCCACAAGCCAGCGGTATACCAGGCCAATCATTCCAGCAGTCAATGCAGTCAAGCCAGTCAATGCAGCAGGCAAGGCGGGCGGTGTCAGGGGTCGTGCGCTTCTCCAACCCACTGGCTGCAGCCCACCACACCGCCTCCTCCGGGCAGCTTAATGCGCCCCAGCGCGGCCCCAACCAATGGCTGCGCAGAGCCCGCTCCAACGTGGGGCTGTCCGGGCAGGTTGAAATGTCGGGCAGGGTGGCGCAATCAGCGCAGATGGTGAGAGTGCCCAGCAACGGGGAGTACTCTGCTGCCCAGGTCACCCCATCTGGGCAGCTGAGAAGACATTTCCCTTCTTTCGCAACTTCGGGGCAGCTTCGGAACCCGTCAGGCCCGTTTGCCCAGTGGGGCCGAGGGGGGTCGGAGCGGAGAGAGGAGCTGGCAGAGGCGGCGGAGATGGCGGCAGAGCAGGCAGAGATGGCTGACTTTTACACCCGAATGCGCAATAAGGCCACTTCTGGGCCCATCTACTTTGGATGACTGGCACGCATTGTAGCTTGTACATCATGTGTGATAGCTGAATAGGTTATAGCACACATGCACATTGGCTGTGTGTTTCCCATCGATTGCCAATAGGTAGATCCTTTCTAACTGGGGGGAAACTTGTGGAATAATGTATTGATATGTTACACACTCTAAGATGGTAGCTGAGGTGAGGTGTAGGGCATTTGAACTTGTAACATCTGATTATTATGATAGGCAAAACCTGAGCCAATACATCACAGACGGTAGTAGCTTGTTAGTACTAGGACCTCAACATGACGTTAATAAAGAACTAACCTGACTTGTGGTGCGCTTCAGTTAAGTAACGCCCAGACCAAATCTAGTATACCAAGTCAGAGGGCAAGTGAAGCAACACGATCTAATGAAAGCACTGAGCTTCAGTTAAGTAACGCCCAGACCAAATCTAGCATACCAAGTCAGAGGGCAAGTGAAGCAACACGATCTAATGAAAGCACGTTAGTGGGTGGGCGGGGCCTAGTACCCTTCCACGAACACCAGTGACACTAATCGCAGCCACATTATTTACAGCTGAGTCACACCCAGCAGGGTGGGCTGGGCTGTCTCACGCCCTGCTACCACTAGTGAGGGCCTTGAGGCGAGCGGCATACTGTGTGGAGAAGTGGGCGGCAGCAGCGGCGATGGGGTGGGCGGCGCCGTGCAGGGAGCGGGCGTTGGAGGCGATGAGGTTGGTGTCGTGCAGTAGGGAGTCCAGTGAGCGGTACCACCCTGATGCCATGCGCGCCCGCACCAGTGCCACACTCATGGGTTCTGGGATGCTGCAGAGGGGGGGGATGGGAAAAGGGAGGGGGTGAGGGATGTGAGGGGAGGGTGGAGCTTCAGGTGCAGTGACAAGTGAGAGGTTAACGGGCGTGCAGGTGGGAGCAAGATGGAGCAAGGCAGAGCAGGGCAGGCATGGGGCAGAGCAGAGCAGGGAAGGCAGCTAGCCGTGAGCTGGGTGCAGGCAGCAGAGCAAGCGATAACCAGCCAAGGTTGGCACGCACGAGGAGAGGGCGGCGGGGGAGGAGTCGGGCGAGTAGAGAAGATGCAGGGAGCAGTGCACCTCCTCGTCCTGCTCCACCGCCCGCAGTGCCTCCCTGGCGGCGCTGAGCAGGTGAGCTGGCATGGCGGGGCGGGTGGGCCAGAGCGCGGGGTCGGGGTCGAGCAGCTCCCACGCACTCTGCCTCTCCACACTGCGGTCGTGCGCATAGTACACCTGTAGCCTGATGGGGAGAGGGAGGGGGAGGGGGTGAGAACGGAGGGGTGTGAAGGAAAGGGCATGCAGAGGCAGTGGAGCGAGCAGTGGGAGAGAGTGGGAGAGTGGGTGCAAGAGGTGCAGCAAGTGGTGAGCGGCTGACCTGCGCCAGGGGCTGAGGGGCAGGGCGGGGTCGAAGGGGCTATCGGAGTGGATGCGGCCGCGGAAGAGCACTGCGCGCGGGTGCTCTGCCATTGCCCTGCCCGATGATGACTCCGGCAGGGGGGGTGGCTTGAGGCCTGGTGGCAGCGACTCCCGGCTCCAATACGCCTGCGGGCAGGCATAGAGGCGCGTGGATGGGGAGGGACGGAGAGGGGAGGGGTGGTGAAAAGGGGGGGAGGGGAGTGGAGCAAGTAGCAGCAGTGGAAATAGATTTGTGCATGGTGCATGAACCACCTCCCAGCGCCCAGCAGACCACATACCAGGCAGTGCTGCCTGGGGTGCCAGCCGTGGGCGAGGGCAGCATCATACCGCCAGCGCTCCACCACATACTCCTCGCCCTCCTCGAGGAGCTCCACCCCCACCCTCTCCCCACACGCCGGGCTCTCACTCTCCACCACCACCAGCACCGCTCTGCACCCCACTCGCCGCGCCTCCCCCGCCCCCCTGCCTCCCCCTCGCCGCCCCTGCCCTGCCCCCCCGCCACCGCTCTCCACCCAGTAGTACCCCACCTCCTCCACCACACACGGCTCCGCCGGCCGCAGCTTCCTCCGAAGCTTCTCGTCCAGGCCCCGGCTGCGGCTGCGCCCAACACTTTCCAGGAAGCTGAGGTGGCCCTGGAAGCAGTAGATGACGTCATCACCCACCTGGGGCAGGTAAGGATCGCCCTCCCTCCATTCCGTCCCCCCCACCCACCCCGCACCCGCTCGCACCCGCCCCACTGCCCTGCCACCCCCCTCGCTCCTCTCTCCATCGCGACCTCCTCTCGCCTCGGCCCCCACTGTCCCGGGAGAGGGTGCCAGGGCTGTGAGTCGGGGGGATGCGCGCGGGGTGATGGCAGCGAGGCAGGGGCTCCTGGAGGAGAGAGCCAGGGGGGAGCTGCGAGCGCCGGAGCCTGTAGGTATGGCAGCAGGTGAGGTGGGGAGGCGCGGGCGCAGACGCGGGCTCGCTGTGCTGTGTGGGGGAGGTGGGGTGGGAGCAGTGCGGCGAGAGGGTGGGGTGCGGTGCTGTGCGGTGCTCTGCCTGCCCTGCTGCTGCCGCCGCGCTGACTGTGTGCGTGTGGCCCGCTTGTCCCGGCGGCGGCGAGTGCTCCTGGTTTGTGGAGGAGCTGCTCTCTTCCTCTTCCTCTCACCCCCCATGTCCTCACTCCCCTCACTCGCCTCACTCTCCCTACTCCCCTCACTCTCATCACTCCCCTCACTCCCCTCACTCCCCTCACTCCCCTCACTGTCACTACTCCCATCACTCTCACTCGACTCACCATACGACTCACTCTCCTCCTCTTCCTCCTCTGCCTCTTCCGCCTCCTCTTCGCTCTTTGTTCCCTCCTCATCATCCTCCTCCTTCTCATCCTCCTTCTCATCCTCCTCCTTCGCATCCTCCTCCTTCGCATCCTCCTCCGTCTTATCATGCTCCGACCCCTTTGCCTTCTCACTCTCCCCTGTGCATCCTTTCTGCACCGCAATCGCCTTCTCTGTCGCCTTGCTCTCGATCCCATTCCCACGCTCCCCTGCACTCTCCGCATCCGCACTCTCCCCATCCGCACCCTCCCCTGCCTCTCTCTTGCCATGCTCCAATCGCCTCCTCACGTTTCTCTTCCCGCGCATCTGACCCACTTGCTCTATTCTAGTCGCATCTTGCCCCTCCTCCTTCACCCCACACCCCTTGTCCGAATCACCACTAGCATCTCGCTCATCACCTTCTGCCCCCGTCGCCGCACCATCTCCCACCCTCTCACACTCCCCACTCGCCGCACCATCTCCCACCCTCTCACACTCCCCACTCGCCACACCATCTCCCACCCTCTCACACTCCCCACTCGCCGCACCATCTCCCACCCTCTCACACTCCCCACTCGCCGCACCATCCTCGCCTAGACCATCCCTCTCCTGCCCCTTCCCCCTCTCCTGCCCCTTCCCCCTCTCCTGCCCCTCCCCCCTCTCATCCCCCTGCTCTGCTTCCTCCTGTTCCTCGCCTCTCCCCACACAAGCCTCCTCCCCATCAGCTGTGCCACCCCCTCTTCTCTCCCCTTCACTGTGCCCGCCACCACCATCGCCACCACCACTAACACCCCTGTCCCTCTGCTCGCCCCCCACATTCCCCTCTCCGTCCTCCTGGCCCTCCTCTTCCTCCACCGCACACCGCTGCTCCTCAACACCCCCCTCTGCACTCCTGCCACCCTCCTCCCGAGCCTGCTCCCTTGATTCGGCTGTGGTGCTGACCCTGACAGCAGCAGGGGCATCAGAAGGCGCACGAGCAGTGGATGCATGGCGCCCCTCACTGCCACCTCCACTCCCTGCTTGCCCGCCTCCACTGTCCCCGTCACGCCCTGTCTCCCCATTCGCGTCTCCTTGCTCACCCCCACTCCTCTCGCCACTATTATCCCCTTCTCCCTCCTCCCCGCCGCCCTCCTCCCTGCCACCCTCCTCCTTTCCGCCCTCCTCTCTGCCACCCACCTCTCTGCCGGCCGGCCTATCGCCAAGCAGGCTGAGCAGGTCGTCCCCAGGAAGCCCTGCCACCTCCTCCGCGCCCTCCTCCCCAAACAGCTCCGCAAACAGCTCCTCCTTGCGCGCACTCATCTCCCCTTCCTCTTCCCCCCACTCCCCCGCGCCCCCGGCACCCCCTGCAACCTCACTGCCCGCCCTGCTCTCCGCCCCCAGAATACGTTGCAGCAACCAGCCCCCTGCACCCTCTGCTGCTGCACAGCCCTCCATTGCACTACCATCCGCGCCAGCACCACTCTCCGCACAACAAGCACCAACAGCGGCACCACCAGCAAAAGCAGCAATGTTTAACAACCCCTCCTCAGTCACACTGTCCTCGTGCCCCTCCTTGATCCCATCCATCCCATCAGTGCCTCCACTCTCTGCCTTCAAACAATCTCCCTCCTCAACCTTCCTGACCCCCTCACCCGCCACCACACTCGCACCTGCGTCTATCACGCCCTCCACTGCGCTCTCGCCCTCTGCCCTTTTCCCCACATCCCCTCCCCCTTGTTCCCCTCCCACCCCTCCCTCCTCGCCAGTCGCTCCCCTCCCCTCTCCAGCCTCCATCTCACAATCAGCTTCACCATCTGTCCCTTTACCTGCCCCTTCACCTGCCCGTCCATCTGCCCGTCCATCTGCCCATCCACCTGCATCATCCCCTCCCACTCCACCATCCTGCTGTCCGGCGGCATGTTCGCCCTCACTCGCCCCGCTCCCTGCACCGGCCATAACCGCACCACCACTTGCTGGCACTACCGTGCGAGGAAGCAGCAGCGCCAGAGCACACACACCTGTCCCACCTCCGCCATCACCGCTGCCGCCCTCACCCGCCTGCACGCCCCTTCCTCCCAGTCTCTCTGTGCGCCCTGAGCGCTGCACTGCTGTCCCACGCGCGTTCCTCTTCCTCCTTGTGCCAGCCGGCACCGCCACCGGCAGCCCCCCGTGCGCCGCTGCTGTAGCAGCGCCACCGACCCCAGCAGCACTAGCGCCAGTTGGACTGTTAGCGGCAAGAGCAGCGGTGTGAGGGCCGGTGTTAGGAGCAGCGGTGTGAGGGCCGGTGTTAGGAGCAGCAGCAGCAGGCACGGAGTCAGCAGCGGGTGCGCTTGGAGGGGCGCCAGGCGTCGTCGTCATCTGCACAGCCCACACAGCGCCCACCCCACGCACGCCTGCACGTTCGTCAGTACCCAGCGACGCACTCTGCATGACCCAATTCGAAATGCGCCCTCGCTCACCCCCCGCTCGCTCTTGCCCCTCCTCACTCGCTTGCCCCTCCTCACTCTCTTGCCCCTCCTCACTCTCATGCCCATCCTCACTCTCATGTCCCTCATCTCTCTTCCTCGCCCCTCCCTTCTCTCCCCCTCTCCCCTTCCCCCGTGGTGTCCTTGCCCTCAATACGTGTCCCCCCTTCACCACGTCACCCCCCTCGCCCCTCTCCCCTCCCCCCGTTTCCCCACTTGCATTCCCCTCTCCCTCACTCTCATCCCCCCCCATCGCCTCTGCATCTTCGTTCTCACTGCTCTCCCAATCCCCAACCAACCCCTTCCCGCTCGCCTCACCCACAGCTCGCCTCCCCCTCTCCCCCACACCTCCCCATGCCCTCCCCGACCCCACCCGCGCCCCGCACCCTTCCCCACCTGATCCTGCAACTCGCGCCTTGCTGCCTCTTCCTCTGCCGCCCGCGCCCCTCCCTTGTCCCCCCCTTCCAGATGCACTCCCTGCTCCCCTCCCTCTGCCTCTACCTCTTCCCCTGCCCCTGCCCCTGCCCCTTCCCCTGCCCCTGCCTGCCACCACCCGCACTGACTGTCTCGCCCCCCCTCCTCCTCCCCGCACCTCCCCCCTCCCTGCAGGGAGTGCCCCCGTCCCTGCTGTGCGCTTGCGCGTCTTCCTCTTTCCCCAGTTGGGTTCTACTTTCCAATTCCCCCGATCTTCTTCCTCCTCCTCCTCCTCTTCCTCTTCTTCCTCTTCGTTTTCCTCCTCCTCCTCTTCCTCCTCCTCCTCGTCCTCCCAAATCTCCTCAGCACCACCTGCCTGGACTGAACGCTCAACAGCATCACCACCCCTTGCTGCACCCACGCCCATCCCAGCAGGTCTCAGCTGGGCAGGTCTTATTTGGGCAGGTCTGATCTGCGCGGGTCTTGACTGGGCGGGTCTTATCTGAGCGGGTCTCAACTGAGCAGCCTGGCTCACAGCAGCATGCCGAGTGTTGCTCCTCGTCCTCCTCCCTGGCGTGCTCTCCTCACCCACCTCCGCCCCTGTGTCTTCCTCTTCCTCCTCCTCGGATCCAATCTCCTCCATCACTTCTTCCTCCTCCTCCACCTCCTCTACCCCCTCCACCCCCTCCTCATCCTCCTCATCCCCCTCATCCTCCTCTGCCTCCACAACATCCTCCTCGTCGTCCTCCTCCTCCTCCTTCGCCTCCTCTCCCTCATGAGCCGTGGCGTGAGCGTGCTGCAGCAGGGCCTGTGCGGCCTGGGTGCGTTGAGCCACCATGCGCTGTGCCACACACACACACACACGAGTGCAAGCACACACCAGCAAATACGGACATTAAGTTAGTAGCTTTTCCACAACCAATGCACCAAAAAAGTCACGCTCCTGGTGTGTCTCTCTACACACCAGTCACATGCCCCATGCCCCATGCCCCCTAACCCCTGTCCCATGTCCCCCTGCCCCCTGACCCCTGCCGCCTACCGCCTGCCCCCTGACCTGTACCGCAGCGCACCTGCTTGAGCTGCGACTTGGTCACTCCGCGCGGCGCTGCACAGGAGCTGCCCGCACTGCCGCCCCCGCTGCCGCCCCCACCACCACACGCAGCAGACGCGCCAGCACCACCAGCACCAGCAGCAGCATCGGCACCACCAGCAGCGTCAGCAGCAGCATCGGCAGCAGCATCGGCAGCAGAGGGTTTTCGGAGGTTGATTTTGAGCTTGAGCCCGCCCCCGCCCACAGGAGTGATGGCCCTCTGTCCGCCCCTCACTGCCAACACTCCCTGCTGCCCCCTCCCATGCCCACTGCCTTCCCCCACCCCCTGCCCTCCCCTCGCCTGGGAGCCATGCGGCCACTGGTGGGCGTAAGGTGCAGTGGCCAGGCTTCTAGAGGCGTGCCCCACTCGCTTGTACTGCTCCACGTCCTCCTCCTCCTCATACTCCTCCTCCTCCTCTTCCTCCCCTTCCTCCTCACCTTCCTCCTCACCTTCCTCCTCTTCTTCCTCCTCATCCTCCTCCTCTTCCTCATCCTCTTCCCACTCGTCTTCCCCTTCCCCTTCTCCCTCCTCCTCCTCCTCATCCTCCTCCTCTTCTTCCTCGCCCGCCACAAACCTTCTCTTCCGGGCACCACTCTCATCCTCCCAAGGTTCTACATCCCATTCCTCCTCCCCCTCCACCTCTTTCCCTGCACGCCTCACCCGCCCTCTCCCCCTCCCTCCCCCGCCTCCACCTCCCCTTGCCACCTTCCATGCCCTGCCCCTCCCCCCCTTCCCATTCCGCATCACCCGCCCCTGTCCCCCCCTTTTCCCCTTACCCCGTCCACTCCCCTTGTCGCGCCCACTCCTTGTAATCATCCGCCTCCCCCGCTGCTCCCGCACCTCCTCAACCCCCTCCTCGTCCTCCTCATCCACCTCGCCCTCCCCTGCCCTCCCCCATCGCCGCCTTCTCTTCCCCAGAAGCCTCCGTGACCGTCTTGTGCCCTGCCCATCCTCCTCCCCCTCGCCCTGCCCACCCTCTTCTTCCTCCTCCGTCTCCCCCTCCTGCTCCTCCTCACTCCCTCCGCGCCTCTCCTCCTCCCCTCCACTCACTTCATACTCTGAGTCGTCCTCCCCTCTCTCCTCCTCGCCCCTCTCCTCTTCCCCCGCCATGGTAACTTCAAACCCCTCATACTGCCTCACAGGCAGCCTCTCCCTCAGCTCCCATCGCTGGCTTTCCCGCCGCCTCCCCTCCCCTCTCTGCCTCCCTCCACCCCCCCCTGCAACACCACCTTCTCCCCCGCCCACTCTCCCCTCCTCCCCCTCCTCGCCCCCACTCACCACCTGCACCTCCCCATCCTCTTCCCTCCTCCCCCTTCCTTCCTCCCTCCTCACCCCCTCCCTCCGGCCCCCTCCCCCGCGCCCGCCACCGCCAGCAGCAGCAGGCAGGGGCAGGAGCGGCAGGGGGGCGGAGCCGGGGGCGCCAAGGGCCTCGTTGGGGACGGGCTGGAAGGCCAGGTCGTCTGCCTCAATTCGCCCCACCCTGAGCGGGAAGGAGGGCGGGTGGTAGGGGCGCGCGAGCAGGGCAAAGCGCAGCGCGTGGAAGCGCGCCTGGTAGGGGTCGGGGTACGGCTGCATGCCCGCATCGCATATGGGGTCCATCCACGTGCGCTCCTCCGTCAGCGTGTTCGTCTCCTGGAGGGGGGAGAGGGGGAGGGCGGGATGGGTGGGGCATGGGGGGCCATAAATGAGGGGCGCACAGGGTACGGCTGCATGCCTGCATCGCATATGGGGTCCATCCACGTGCGCTCCTCCGTTAACACGTTCGTCTCCTGGTGTGGGGGGGTGGGGCATGAGGGGCCATTGGGTGCGCGGATGAGATGGAGGCATGAGAGGGAATGGAATTGGGAGAAGCAACACGAGCAAGAGCGGGAGTGCAGGGGAGAGTGGGAGGGAAGCAGGAGTGCAGGCGAAAGCAAAAGTGCAGGCAATCGGAAGTACAGGGGAGTGCATGAGTGCAGGCGGGCATGAGTGCAGGAGGGCATGAGTGCAGGCGGGCATGAGTGCAGGCGGGCATGAGTGCAGGCGGGCATGAGTGCAGGCGGGCATGAGTGCAGGCGGGCATGAGTGCAGGCGGGCATGAGTGCAGGCGGGCATGAGTGCAGGCGGGCATGAGTGCAGGCGGGCATGAGTGCAGGCGGGCATGAGTGCAGGCGGGCATGAGTGCAGGCGGGCATGAGTGCAGGCGGGCATGAGTGCAGGCGGGCATGAGTGCAGGTGGGCATGAGTGCAGGAGGGCATGAGAATGCACCTCATCGAGGGCGTTGTGGAATGAGTCGAGGGCGAATCGACGATAGTCGCCCAGGAAGAACTGATGTGATGGTGCAGGGAGGGGCATGGGGGACGCATGAGGGGCACATGGGAGAACGAGAGGCAGTTTAGGATAGTGGGGGAAAGAGAGTGGACCCAGGGCCGTTTGAGAAGGACAAAGAGGGCACGCAATGAAGGACGCGAAGTGTGTGGGCATGGCAGAGAGGCATGGCACAGGGCATGTGGCCATGGTACCTGGTCCATGTGAATGCGCCCACCTGATCCATGTGGATGTGCGCCCATTGGTCCTTGCCCCCCGTGGCAAACACATACACCTGCCCCACCTCGTCCGCCACCACCAGCCCCGTGCCGTCCCTGTCACCCATGCACGCATGCATATGGGCGTGGGGGGAAAGAGGGTTGTGCATGGGCATGGGGGTGGGAGGGACGCACATGGGCATGGGGGTGGGAGGGACGCACATGGGCATGGGGGAGATAGGGACGTGTATAGTCATGGGTGCCTGGGGGGGCGGGGGAGTGCAACAAATCAGTAGACGATGGGTGAATGGGAGAGCGCACGAGATACTCGAGGCTGGATGGGGCTGGATGGGGCTGGATGGGGCTGGATGGGGCTGGATGAAGCAGCAGCAGCAGGAACGAGAAGAGCAGCAGCAGCCGGAACGAGAAGCATGGAAGCAGGGGGCGCACACGATGGGAGGCAGCAAGGGGGGCCGGCGCACAAAGGGACTTACGGAGAGAAATGGCCGTCGACGAGTTGGAAATTGGTGACGTGGCGGATGGCGATTGGCTGTCCCTTCCAGATGTCCCACACGATAACCCGGCCATCGTACCCCGCGCTCATGGCAATGCGCGGGTCCGTGGGATGCACGTCCAGCACAAACGCCTGATGGGGCAGGGGGGAGGTAGGAGTGTAGGAGGGGATGGGAATGATTCGAGACGCCTCAAACTCGATGGGCGGGTCTACGGGATGGACGTTCAACAAGCACGTGTGAGGGGGCAGTGGGCATGGGGAAAGAGGAAGGCAGGAGTTGTGGAGTGCATGCTAGGATGGCCGAAATGGAGGTAGAGAGTGGGAGTGTCAGAGCCTCTTCAGTGCAACCACCCACCCGGACCTTAGTGTGCGCCTCTCACCTGCTCGTGCCTGTGCGCGTGCTGCCCCTCACCTGCTCCTGGTGTGCAGTGAGGCAGTGTATGAGCTCGCCTGTGCTTGCCTGCCACACACAGATGCGCGCATCTGCCATGCATGGGGGGGAGGAGAAGGACAGACGTACGGGAAGAGATATGAGCAGAGGAAGAGGGTGAGACTCTGGGGCTAAGAGAAGAAAGGGTGGGTGGAGAGATGAGGAAAGATACAAGAGGCGGGGCAGCAGTGCCTTGCCCACTAGTTTTGAGACGTCTCAAAACAAGAGGCGAGGCAACAGTGCCTTGCCCACTGCTACACACACACGCATCTCTGCTCACAACACTCACATGCCACCTCCTAAGGCCGCACCTGTGAGGGCAGCGAGCACGAACTGGCAGTCGAGCGACCAGATGATCATATTCGCCGCCGCCCCCGCCGCATCCCTCGCCCTCGCCCTCGCCCCTGCCCTCCCCCCGCCCCCTGCGCCCTGCGCTGCTGCAGCCCCCGCGGGGACAGGCAGGGGGCGCGGAGGAGCGGTGAGCTGCTGCGCCTTGTTCCACTGCAGGTGCTTTCCCTGGGGGCGGCGGACACGGGCGCGGAAATAAGGGGGACACAGGGGGGCAGAAATAAGGGGGAAGCGGATGAGAGAGGGGCAATGAGAGGTGATGAGGGGTGATAAAGGAACAAGGAATGGAAGGGACGGGGCTGATGGGGTGAAGGGCAGGCTGGCATGCATGCATGCATGCAGGGGATGGGGACAGCAACTGCCTCTCATGTGCGCACTGAGAGCACATGGGTTCTGCATCGCCTAATGGCGCCCACTCACATGCACGCGGCGGGCCCGAGCGCGCCAGATGATGGCAGAGCCGTCCCGCGCACACGACACTATCGCCTCCACCCCGGGCCGGTTGGCCGTGCTGGGGGTTGGGGTGGGTGGAAGGGAAGAGGGAGGAAGCGGAAATGAGAGGGTGAGGGAGAGAGGGAAGTTGGGCTCAGGGAGAAGAAAAACAGTTGGAGGGCAGGCGGTGTGGAGAGATGGGTATGAGTAGTAGTGGAGATGGGGAGTGATGGTGAGAGGCCAAGGTGTGAACGGGGAGTGGTAGTGAGACATGGTGCAGTTGAGAGTGCATGCGGGGCTTACTTGAGGGAGGTGAGTCGCCTCTCCTTGTCCTTCTCCTTCCTCTTCCCCCCCTCCACACCTCCCTTCCCCTTCTCCCCCACACCTCTCCCCTCCTCGTCCCCACCAGACGTCACCTCCTGCTGCACCCCCGCACACCCACTGCAGCGCAAGGGGGGGGATGAGGGGGGAGGGGACGGGGGGCAGGGTGCAAGGGGTTGGGGCATGAGCAGAGAAGGGGGCAATGGGGGCTTGTGTGGTGAAGATTGACAGAGAGGGTTGTGGCAGTTAAATTCAGAGGGCGGTGGCAGGCAGGCAGCAGGAGAGGGGCGTGGGGGCGGCAGGAGAGGGGCGTTTGGGGCGCACCTGAACTGCACGAAGTTGACTGAACCCTGGTGCCCCAGCAGCTCCTGCACCTCGTGCTGCACCCCCACTCTCTCCCGCCCCCGCTCACCCACTCCTGCCACCCATGGCCCCTGCTGCTGCTGCTGCTGCTGTCCATGTTGCTGGTATTGTTGCTGTAGTTCCTGGAATTGCTGCTGCTGCTCCTGTTGTTGCTGCTGCGGAAGCTGAGAGGGTTCCTTGGGTGCGAGAGCAGGGATGCGGGCATCCCATACCTGGGCACAAGGCGTACATAGAGCAGAAGTGCAGCACAACATCACGTGTGACGACGGGACACAGCACGGCGGCGTACATGCACATGCACATGCAGGGCACCGCACCGTCAGATGTGATGCTGTGACACAGCATCGCAGTGAATGTGATGATGTGGAACAGCACATGAAATGGCAAAAAGTGTGTGAATTAGCATAACTTTCAAATTCCCATGCTCACCCGCGTGCGCCCATCCTCACTCACCCGCGTGCGCCCATCCTCACTCACCCGCGTGCGCCCATCCTCACTCACCCGCGTGTGCCCATCCTCACTCACCCTCGTGAGCCCATCCTCACTCACCCTCGTGCGCCCATCCTCACTCACCCGCGTGCGCCCATCCTCACTCACCCTCGTGAGCCCATCCTCACTCACCCGCGTGCGCCCATCCTCAATCACCCGCGTGCGCCCATCCTCACTCACCCTCGTGAGCCCATCCTCACTCACCAGCGTGCGCCCATCCTCACTCACCCTCGTGAGCCCATCCTCACTCACCCGCGTGCGCCCATCCTCACTCACCCGCGTGCGCCCATCCTCACTCACCCGCGTGCGCCCATCCTCACTCACCCGCGTGCGCCCATCCTCATTAACCCTCGTGAGCCCATCCTCACTCACCCGCGTGCGCCCATCCTCACTCACCCTCGTGAGCCCATCCTCACTCACCCGCGTGCGCCCATCCTCACTCACCCGCGTGCGCCCATCCTCACTCACCCGCGTGCGCCCATCCTCACTCACCCGCGTGCGCCCATCCTCACTCACCCGCGTGCGCCCATCCTCACTCACCCGCGTGCGCCCATCCTCACTCACCCTCGTGAGCCCATCCTCACTCACCCTCGTGAGCCCATCCTCACTCACCCGCGTGCGCCCATCCTCACTCACCCGCGTGCGCCCATCCTCACTCACCCTCGTGAGCCCATCCTCACTCACCAGCGTGCGCCCATCCTCACTCACCCTCGTGAGCCCATCCTCACTCACCCGCGTGCGCCCATCCTCACTCACCCTCGTGAGCCCATCCTCACTCACCCTCGTGAGCCCATCCTCACTCACCCGCGTGCGCCCATCCTCACTCACCCTCGTGAGCCCATCCTCACTCACCCTCGTGAGCCCATCCTCACTCACCCTCGTGAGCCCATCCTCACTCACCCTCGTGAGCCCATCCTCACTCACCCTCGTGAGCCCATCCTCACTCACCCTCGTGAACCCATCCTCACTCACCCTCGTGAGCCCATCCTCACTCACCCTCGTGAGCCCATCCTCACTCACCCGCGTGCGCCCATCCTCACTCACCCTCGTGAGCCCATCCTCACTCACCCTCGTGAGCCCATCCTCACTCACCCTCGTGAGCCCATCCTCACTCACCCGCGTGCGCCCATCCTCACTCACCCTCGTGAGCCCATCCTCACTCACCCGCGTGCGCCCATCCTCACTCACCCTCGTGAGCCCATCCTCACTCACCCTCGTGAGCCCATCCTCACTCACCCGCGTGCGCCCATCCTCACTCACCCGCGTGCGCCCATCCTCACTCACCCTCGTGAGCCCATCCTCACTCACCCTCGTGCGCCCATCCTCACTCACCCGCGTGCGCCCATCCTCACTCACCCTCGTGAGCCCATCCTCACTCACCCGCGTGCGCCCATCCTCACTCACCCGCGTGCGCCCATCCTCACTCACCCTCGTGAGCCCATCCTCACTCACCAGCGTGCGCCCATCCTCACTCACCCTCGTGAGCCCATCCTCACTCACCCGCGTGCGCCCATCCTCACTCACCCGCGTGCGCCCATCCTCACTCACCCGCGTGCGCCCATCCTCACTCACCCGCGTGCGCCCATCCTCATTAACCCTCGTGAGCCCATCCTCACTCACCCGCGTGCGCCCATCCTCACTCACCCTCGTGAGCCCATCCTCACTCACCCGCGTGCGCCCATCCTCACTCACCCGCGTGCGCCCATCCTCACTCACCCGCGTGCGCCCATCCTCACTCACCCGCGTGCGCCCATCCTCACTCACCCGCGTGCGCCCATCCTCACTCACCCGCGTGCGCCCATCCTCACTCACCCTCGTGAGCCCATCCTCACTCACCCTCGTGAGCCCATCCTCACTCACCCTCGTGAGCCCATCCTCACTCACCCTCGTGAGCCCATCCTCACTCACCCGCGTGCGCCCATCCTCACTCACCCTCGTGAGCCCATCCTCACTCACCCTCGTGAGCCCATCCTCACTCACCCTCGTGAGCCCATCCTCACTCACCCTCGTGAGCCCATCCTCACTCACCCTCGTGAGCCCATCCTCACTCACCCGCGTGCGCCCATCCTCACTCACCCTCGTGAGCCCATCCTCACTCACCCTCGTGAGCCCATCCTCACTCACACTCGTGAGCCCATCCTCACTCACCCTCGTGAGCCCATCCTCACTCACCCTCGTGAGCCCATCCTCACTCACCCTCGTGAGCCCATCCTCACTCACCCGCGTGCGCCCATCCTCACTCACCCGCGTGCGCCCATCCTCACTCACCCTCGTGAGCCCATCCTCACTCACCCTCGTGCGCCCATCCTCACTCACCCGCGTGCGCCCATCCTCACTCACCCTCGTGAGCCCATCCTCACTCACCCGCGTGCGCCCATCCTCACTCACCCGCGTGCGCCCATCCTCACTCACCCGCGTGCGCCCATCCTCACTCACCCGCGTGCGCCCATCCTCATTAACCCTCGTGAGCCCATCCTCACTCACCCGCGTGCGCCCATCCTCACTCACCCTCGTGAGCCCAACCTCACTCACCCGCGTGCGCCCATCCTCACTCACCCGCGTGCGCCCATCCTCACTCACCCGCGTGCGCCCATCCTCACTCACCCGCGTGCGCCCATCCTCACTCACCCGCGTGCGCCCATCCTCACTCACCCGCGTGCGCCCATCCTCACTCACCCTCGTGAGCCCATCCTCACTCACCCTCGTGAGCCCATCCTCACTCACCCGCGTGCGCCCATCCTCACTCACCCGCTTGCGCCCATCCTCACTCACCCGCGTGCGCCCATCCTCACTCACCCGCGTGCGCCCATCCTCACTCACCCGCGTGCGCCCATCCTCATTAACCCTCGTGAGCCCATCCTCACTCACCCGCGTGCGCCCATCCTCACTCACCCTCGTGAGCCCAACCTCACTCACCCGCGTGCGCCCATCCTCACTCACCCGCGTGCGCCCATCCTCACTCACCCTCGTGAGCCCATCCTCACTCACCCTCGTGAGCCCATCCTCACTCACCCTCGTGAGCCCATCCTCACTCACCCTCGTGAGCCCATCCTCACTCACCCTCGTGAGCCCATCCTCACTCACCCTCGTGCGCCCATCCTCACTCACCCTCGTGAGCCCAACCTCACTCACCCTCGTGAGCCCATCCTCACTCACCCTCGTGAGCCCATCCTCACTCACCCTCGTGAGCCCATCCTCACTCACCCTCGTGAGCCCATCCTCACTCACCCTCGTGAGCCCATCCTCACTCACCCTCGTGAGCCCATCCTCACTCACCCTCGTGAGCCCATCCTCACTCACCCTCGTGAACCCATCCTCACTCACCCTCGTGAGCCCATCCTCACTCACCCTCGTGAGCCCATCCTCACTCACCCTCGTGAACCCATCCTCACTCACCCTCGTGAGCCCATCCTCACTCACCCTCGTGAGCCCATCCTCACTCACCCGCGTGCGCCCATCCTCACTCACCCTCGTGAGCCCATCCTCACTCACCCTCGTGAGCCCATCCTCACTCACCCTCGTGAGCCCATCCTCACTCACCCGCGTGCGCCCATCCTCACTCACCCTCGTGAGCCCATCCTCACTCACCCGCGTGCGCCCATCCTCACTCACCCTCGTGAGCCCATCCTCACTCACCCTCGTGAGCCCATCCTCACTCACCCGCGTGCGCCCATCCTCACTCACCCGCGTGCGCCCATCCTCACTCACCCTCGTGAGCCCATCCTCACTCACCCTCGTGCGCCCATCCTCACTCACCCGCGTGCGCCCATCCTCACTCACCCTCGTGAGCCCATCCTCACTCACCCGCGTGCGCCCATCCTCACTCACCCGCGTGCGCCCATCCTCACTCACCCTCGTGAGCCCATCCTCACTCACCAGCGTGCGCCCATCCTCACTCACCCTCGTGAGCCCATCCTCACTCACCCGCGTGCGCCCATCCTCACTCACCCGCGTGCGCCCATCCTCACTCACCCGCGTGCGCCCATCCTCACTCACCCGCGTGCGCCCATCCTCATTAACCCTCGTGAGCCCATCCTCACTCACCCGCGTGCGCCCATCCTCACTCACCCTCGTGAGCCCATCCTCACTCACCCGCGTGCGCCCATCCTCACTCACCCGCGTGCGCCCATCCTCACTCACCCGCGTGCGCCCATCCTCACTCACCCGCGTGCGCCCATCCTCACTCACCCGCGTGCGCCCATCCTCACTCACCCGCGTGCGCCCATCCTCACTCACCCTCGTGAGCCCATCCTCACTCACCCTCGTGAGCCCATCCTCACTCACCCTCGTGAGCCCATCCTCACTCACCCTCGTGAGCCCATCCTCACTCACCCGCGTGCGCCCATCCTCACTCACCCTCGTGAGCCCATCCTCACTCACCCTCGTGAGCCCATCCTCACTCACCCTCGTGAGCCCATCCTCACTCACCCTCGTGAGCCCATCCTCACTCACCCTCGTGAGCCCATCCTCACTCACCCGCGTGCGCCCATCCTCACTCACCCTCGTGAGCCCATCCTCACTCACCCTCGTGAGCCCATCCTCACTCACACTCGTGAGCCCATCCTCACTCACCCTCGTGAGCCCATCCTCACTCACCCTCGTGAGCCCATCCTCACTCACCCTCGTGAGCCCATCGTCACTCACCCGCGTGCGCCCATCCTCACTCACCCTCGTGAGCCCATCCTCACTCACCCTCGTGAGCCCATCCTCACTCACCCTCGTGAGCCCATCCTCACTCACCCTCGTGAGCCCATCCTCACTCACCCTCGTGAGCCCATCCTCACTCACCCTCGTGAGCCCATCCTCACTCACCCTCGTGAGCCCATCCTCACTCACCCGCGTGCGCCCATCCTCACTCACCCTCGTGAGCCCATCCTCACTCACCCGCGTGCGCCCATCCTCACTCACCCTCGTGAGCCCATCCTCACTCACCCTCGTGAGCCCATCCTCACTCACCCGCGTGCGCCCATCCTCACTCACCCGCGTGCGCCCATCCTCACTCACCCTCGTGAGCCCATCCTCACTCACCCTCGTGCGCCCATCCTCACTCACCCGCGTGCGCCCATCCTCACTCACCCTCGTGAGCCCATCCTCACTCACCCGCGTGCGCCCATCCTCACTCACCCGCGTGCGCCCATCCTCACTCACCCTCGTGAGCCCATCCTCACTCACCAGCGTGCGCCCATCCTCACTCACCCTCGTGAGCCCATCCTCACTCACCCGCGTGCGCCCATCCTCACTCACCCGCGTGCGCCCATCCTCACTCACCCGCGTGCGCCCATCCTCACTCACCCGCGTGCGCCCATCCTCATTAACCCTCGTGAGCCCATCCTCACTCACCCGCGTGCGCCCATCCTCACTCACCCTCGTGAGCCCAACCTCACTCACCCGCGTGCGCCCATCCTCACTCACCCGCGTGCGCCCATCCTCACTCACCCGCGTGCGCCCATCCTCACTCACCCGCGTGCGCCCATCCTCACTCACCCGCGTGCGCCCATCCTCACTCACCCGCGTGCGCCCATCCTCACTCACCCTCGTGAGCCCATCCTCACTCACCCTCGTAAGCCCATCCTCACTCACCCGCGTGCGCCCATCCTCACTCACCCGCTTGCGCCCATCCTCACTCACCCGCGTGCGCCCATCCTCACTCACCCGCGTGCGCCCATCCTCACTCACCCGCGTGCGCCCATCCTCATTAACCCTCGTGAGCCCATCCTCACTCACCCGCGTGCGCCCATCCTCACTCACCCTCGTGAGCCCAACCTCACTCACCCGCGTGCGCCCATCCTCACTCACCCGCGTGCGCCCATCCTCACTCACCCTCGTGAGCCCATCCTCACTCACCCTCGTGAGCCCATCCTCACTCACCCTCGTGAGCCCATCCTCACTCACCCTCGTGAGCCCATCCTCACTCACCCTCGTGAGCCCATCCTCACTCACCCTCGTGCGCCCATCCTCACTCACCCTCGTGAGCCCAACCTCACTCACCCTCGTGAGCCCATCCTCACTCACCCTCGTGAGCCCATCCTCACTCACCCTCGTGAGCCCATCCTCACTCACCCTCGTGAGCCCATCCTCACTCACCCTCGTGAGCCCATCCTCACTCACCCTCGTGAGCCCATCCTCACTCACCCTCGTGAGCCCATCCTCACTCACCCTCGTGAGCCCATCCTCACTCACCCGCGTGAGCCCATCCACACTCACCCTCGTGAGCCCATCCTCACTCACCCTCGTGAGCCCATCCTCACTCACCCTCGTGAGCCCATCCTCACTCACCCTCGTGAGCCCATCCTCACTCACCCGCGTGCGCCCATCCTCACTCACCCTCGTGAGCCCATCCTCACTCACCCTCGTGAGCCCATCCTCACTCACCCTCGTGAGCCCATCCTCACTCACCCTCGTGAGCCCATCCTCACTCACCCTCGTGAGCCCATCCTCACTCACCCGCGTGCGCCCATCCTCACTCACCCTCGTGAGCCCATCCTCACTCACCCGCGTGCGCCCATCCTCACTCACCCTCGTGAGCCCATCCTCACTCACCCTCGTGAGCCCATCCTCACTCACCCTCGTGAGCCCATCCTCACTCACCCTCGTGAGCCCATCCTCACTCACCCTCGTGAGCCCATCCTCACTCACCCTCGTGAGCCCATCCTCACTCACCCTCGTGAGCCCATCCTCACTCACCCTCGTGAGCCCATCCTCACTCACCCTCGTGAGCCCATCCTCACTCACCCTCGTGAGCCCATCCTTACTCACCCTCGTGAGCCCATCCTCACTCACCCGCGTGCGCCCATCCTCACTCACCCGCGTGCGCCCATCCTCACTCACCCTCGTGAGCCCATCCTCACTCACCCTCGTGAGCCCATCCTCACTCACCCTCGTGAGCCCATCCTCACTCACCCTCGTGAGCCCATCCTCACTCACCTGCGTGCGCCCATCCTCACTCACCCTCGTGAGCCCATCCTCACTCACCCTCGTGAGCCCATCCTCACTCACCCTCGTGAGCCCATCCTCACTCACCCTCGTGAGCCCATCCTCACTCACCCTCGTGAGCCCATCCTCACTCACCCTCGTGAGCCCATCCTCACTCACCCGCGTGCGCCCATCCTCACTCACCCTCGTGAGCCCATCCTCACTCACCCTCGTGAGCCCATCCTCACTCACCCTCGTGAGCCCATCCTCACTCACCCTCGTGAGCCCATCCTCACTCACCCTCGTGAGCCCATCCTCACTCACCCTCGTGAGCCCATCCTCACTCACCCGCGTGCGCCCATCCTCACTCACCCGCGTGCGCCCATCCTCACTCACCCTCGTGAGCCCATCCTCACTCACCCTCGTGAGCCCATCCTCACTCACCCTCGTGAGCCCATCCTCACTCACCCTCGTGAGCCCATCCTCACTCACCCTCGTGAGCCCATCCTCACTCACCCTCGTGAGCCCATCCTCACTCACCCTCGTGAGCCCATCCTCACTCACCCTCGTGAGCCCATCCTCACTCACCCTCGTGAGCCCATCCTCACTCACCCTCGTGAGCCCATCCTCACTCACCCTCGTGAGCCCATCCTCACTCACCCGCGTGCGCCCATCCTCACTCACCCGCGTGCGCCCATCCTCACTCACCCTCGTGAGCCCATCCTCACTCACCCTCGTGAGCCCATCCTCACTCACCCTCGTGAGCCCATCCTCACTCACCCTCGTGAGCCCATCCTCACTCACCCTCGTGAGCCCATCCTCACTCACCCTCGTGAGCCCATCCTCACTCACCCTCGTGAGCCCATCCTCACTCACCCGCGTGCGCCCATCCTCATTAACCCTCGTGAGCCCATCCTCACTCACCCGCGTGCGCCCATCCTCACTCACCCTCGTGAGCCCAACCTCACTCACCCGCGTGCGCCCATCCTCACTCACCCGCGTGCGCCCATCCTCACTCACCCTCGTGAGCCCATCCTCACTCACCCTCGTGAGCCCATCCTCACTCACCCTCGTGAGCCCATCCTCACTCACCCTCGTGAGCCCATCCTCACTCACCCTCGTGAGCCCATCCTCACTCACCCTCGTGCGCCCATCCTCACTCACCCTCGTGAGCCCAACCTCACTCACCCTCGTGAGCCCATCCTCACTCACCCTCGTGAGCCCATCCTCACTCACCCTCGTGAGCCCATCCTCACTCACCCTCGTGAGCCCATCCTCACTCACCCTCGTGAGCCCATCCTCACTCACCCTCGTGAGCCCATCCTCACTCACCCTCGTGAGCCCATCCTCACTCACCCTCGTGAGCCCATCCTCACTCACCCGCGTGAGCCCATCCACACTCACCCTCGTGAGCCCATCCTCACTCACCCTCGTGAGCCCATCCTCACTCACCCTCGTGAGCCCATCCTCACTCACCCTCGTGAGCCCATCCTCACTCACCCGCGTGCGCCCATCCTCACTCACCCTCGTGAGCCCATCCTCACTCACCCTCGTGAGCCCATCCTCACTCACCCTCGTGAGCCCATCCTCACTCACCCTCGTGAGCCCATCCTCACTCACCCTCGTGAGCCCATCCTCACTCACCCGCGTGCGCCCATCCTCACTCACCCTCGTGAGCCCATCCTCACTCACCCGCGTGCGCCCATCCTCACTCACCCTCGTGAGCCCATCCTCACTCACCCTCGTGAGCCCATCCTCACTCACCCTCGTGAGCCCATCCTCACTCACCCTCGTGAGCCCATCCTCACTCACCCTCGTGAGCCCATCCTCACTCACCCTCGTGAGCCCATCCTCACTCACCCTCGTGAGCCCATCCTCACTCACCCTCGTGAGCCCATCCTCACTCACCCTCGTGAGCCCATCCTCACTCACCCTCGTGAGCCCATCCTCACTCACCCTCGTGAGCCCATCCTCACTCACCCTCGTGAGCCCATCCTCACTCACCTGCGTGCGCCCATCCTCACTCACCCTCGTGAGCCCATCCTCACTCACCCTCGTGAGCCCATCCTCACTCACCCTCGTGAGCCCATCCTCACTCACCCTCGTGAGCTCATCCTCACTCACCCTCGTGAGCCCATCCTCACTCACCCTCGTGAGCCCATCCTCACTCACCCTCGTGAGCCCATCCTCACTCACCCTCGTGAGCCCATCCTCACTCACCCGCGTGCGCCCATCCTCACTCACCCGCGTGCGCCCATCCTCACTCACCCTCGTGAGCCCATCCTCACTCACCCTCGTGAGCCCATCCTCACTCACCCTCGTGAGCCCATCCTCACTCACCCTCGTGAGCCCATCCTCACTCACCCGCGTGCGCCCATCCTCACTCACCCTCGTGAGCCCATCCTCACTCACCCTCGTGAGCCCATCCTCACTCACCCTCGTGAGCCCATCCTCACTCACCCTCGTGAGCCCATCCTCACTCACCCTCGTGAGCCCATCCTCACTCACCCTCGTGAGCCCATCCTCACTCACCCGCGTGCGCCCATCCTCACTCACCCTCGTGAGCCCATCCTCACTCACCCTCGTGAGCCCATCCTCACTCACCCACGTGAGCCCATCCTCACTCACCCTCGTGAGCCCATCCTCACTCACCCTCGTGAGCCCATCCTCACTCACCCTCGTGAGCCCATCCTCACTCACCCGCGTGCGCCCATCCTCACTCACCCTCGTGAGCCCATCCTCACTCACCCTCGTGAGCCCATCCTCACTCACCCTCGTGAGCCCATCCTCACTCACCCTCGTGAGCCCATCCTCACTCACCCTCGTGAGCCCATCCTCACTCACCCTCGTGAGCCCATCCTCACTCACCCTCGTGAGCCCATCCTCACTCACCCGCGTGCGCCCATCCTCACTCACCCTCGTGAGCCCATCCTCACTCACCCTCGTGAGCCCATCCTCACTCACCCTCGTGAGCCCATCCTCACTCACCCTCGTGAGCCCATCCTCACTCACCCGCGTGCGCCCATCCTCACTCACCCTCGTGAGCCCATCCTCACTCACCCGCGTGCGCCCATCCTCACTCACCCTCGTGAGCCCATCCTCACTCACCCTCGTGAGCCCATCCTCACTCACCCTCGTGAGCCCATCCTCACTCACCCTCGTGAGCCCATCCTCACTCACCCTCGTGAGCCCATCCTCACTCACCCTCGTGAGCCCATCCTGACTCACCCTCGTGAGCCCATCCTCACTCACCCTCGTGAGCCCATCCTCACTCACCCTCGTGAGCCCATCCTCACTCACCCTCGTGAGCCCATCCTCACTCACCCTCGTGAGCCCATCCTCACTCACCCGCGTGCGCCCATCCTCACTCACCCGCGTGCGCCCATCCTCACTCACCCTCGTGAGCCCATCCTCACTCACCCTCGTGAGCCCATCCTCACTCACCCTCGTGAGCCCATCCTCACTCACCCTCGTGAGCCCATCCTCACTCACCTGCGTGCGCCCATCCTCACTCACCCTCGTGAGCCCATCCTCACTCACCCTCGTGAGCCCATCCTCACTCACCCTCGTGAGCCCATCCTCACTCACCCTCGTGAGCTCATCCTCACTCACCCTCGTGAGCCCATCCTCACTCACCCTCGTGAGCCCATCCTCACTCACCCGCGTGCGCCCATCCTCACTCACCCTCGTGAGCCCATCCTCACTCACCCTCGTGAGCCCATCCTCACTCACCCTCGTGAGCCCATCCTCACTCACCCTCGTGAGCCCATCCTCACTCACCCTCGTGAGCCCATCCTCACTCACCCTCGTGAGCCCATCCTCACTCACCCGCGTGCGCCCATCCTCACTCACCCTCGTGAGCCCATCCTCACTCACCCTCGTGAGCCCATCCTCACTCACCCTCGTGAGCCCATCCTCACTCACCCTCGTGAGCCCATCCTCACTCACCCTCGTGAGCCCATCCTCACTCACCCTCGTGAGCCCATCCTCACTCACCCTCGTGAGCCCATCCTCACTCACCCTCGTGAGCCCATCCTCACTCACCCGCGTGCGCCCATCCTCACTCACCCTCGTGAGCCCATCCTCACTCACCCTCGTGAGCCCATCCTCACTCACCCTCGTGAGCCCATCCTCACTCACCCTCGTGAGCCCATCCTCACTCACCCGCGTGCGCCCATCCTCACTCACCCTCGTGAGCCCATCCTCACTCACCCTCGTGAGCCCATCCTCACTCACCCTCGTGAGCCCATCCTCACTCACCCTCGTGAGCCCATCCTCACTCACCCTCGTGAGCCCATCCTCACTCACCCGCGTGCGCCCATCCTCACTCACCCTCGTGAGCCCATCCTCACTCACCCGCGTGCGCCCATCCTCACTCACCCTCGTGAGCCCATCCTCACTCACCCTCGTGAGCCCATCCTCACTCACACTCGTGAGCCCATCCTCACTCACCCTCGTGAGCCCATCCTCACTCACCCGCGTGCGCCCATCCTCACTCACCCTCGTGAGCCCATCCTCACTCACCCTCGTGAGCCCATCATCACTCACCCTCGTGAGCCCATCCTCACTCACCCGCGTGCGCCCATCCTCACTCACCCTCGTGAGCCCATCCTCACTCACCCGCGTGCGCCCATCCTCACTCACCCTCGTGAGCCCATCCTCACTCACCCTCGTGAGCCCATCCTCACTCACCCTCGTGAGCCCATCCTCACTCACCCTCGTGAGCCCATCCTCACTCACCCTCGTGAGCCCATCCTCACTCACCCTCGTGAGCCCATCCTCACTCACCCTCGTGAGCCCATCCTCACTCACCCGCGTGAGCCCATCCACACTCACCCTCGTGAGCCCATCCTCACTCACCCTCGTGAGCCCATCCTCACTCACCCTCGTGAGCCCATCCTCACTCACCCTCGTGAGCCCATCCTCACTCACCCGCGTGCGCCCATCCTCACTCACCCTCGTGAGCCCATCCTCACTCACCCTCGTGAGCCCATCCTCACTCACCCTCGTGAGCCCATCCTCACTCACCCTCGTGAGCCCATCCTCACTCACCCGCGTGCGCCCATCCTCACTCACCCTCGTGAGCCCATCCTCACTCACCCTCGTGAGCCCATCCTCACTCACCCTCGTGAGCCCATCCTCACTCACCCGCGTGAGCCCATCCTCACTCACCCTCGTGAGCCCATCCTCACTCACCCTCGTGAGCCCATCCTCACTCACCCTCGTGAGCCCATCCTCACTCACCCTCGTGAGCCCATCCTCACTCACCCGCGTGCGCCCATCCTCACTCACCCTCGTGAGCCCATCCTCACTCACCCTCGTGAGCCCATCCTCACTCACCCTCGTGAGCCCATCCTCACTCACCCTCGTGAGCCCATCCTCACTCACCCTCGTGAGCCCATCCTCACTCACCCTCGTGAGCCCATCCTCACTCACCCTCGTGAGCCCATCCTCACTCACCCTCGTGAGCCCATCCTCACTCACCCTCGTGAGCCCATCCTCACTCACCCTCGTGAGCCCATCCTCACTCACCCTCGTGAGCCCATCCTCACTCACCCTCGTGAGCCCATCCTCACTCACCCTCGTGAGCCCATCCTCACTCACCCGCGTGCGCCCATCCTCACTCACCCGCGTGCGCCCATCCTCACTCACCCTCGTGAGCCCATCCTCACTCACCCTCGTGAGCCCATCCTCACTCACCCTCGTGAGCCCATCCTCACTCACCCTCGTGAGCCCATCCTCACTCACCCTCGTGAGCCCATCCTCACTCACCCTCGTGAGCCCATCCTCACTCACCCTCGTGAGCCCATCCTCACTCACCCGCGTGCGCCCATCCTCACTCACCCTCGTGAGCCCATCCTCACTCACCCTCGTGAGCCCATCCTCACTCACCCTCGTGAGCCCATCCTCACTCACCCGCGTGCGCCCATCCTCACTCACCCTCGTGAGCCCATCCTCACTCACCCGCGTGCGCCCATCCTCACTCACCCTCGTGAGCCCATCCTCACTCACCCTCGTGAGCCCATCCTCACTCACCCTCGTGAGCCCATCCTCACTCACCCTCGTGAGCCCATCCTCACTCACCCTCGTGAGCCCATCCTCACTCACCCTCGTGAGCCCATCCTCACTCACCCTCGTGAGCCCATCCTCACTCACCCTCGTGAGCCCATCCTCACTCACCCTCGTGAGCCCATCCTCACTCACCCTCGTGAGCCCATCCTCACTCACCCGCGTGCGCCCATCCTCACTCACCCGCGTGCGCCCATCCTCACTCACCCTCGTGAGCCCATCCTCACTCACCCTCGTGAGCCCATCCTCACTCACCCTCGTGAGCCCATCCTCACTCACCCTCGTGAGCCCATCCTCACTCACCCTCGTGAGCCCATCCTCCCTCACCCTCGTGAGCCCATCCTCACTCACCCTCGTGAGCCCATCCTCACTCACCCTCGTGAGCCCATCATCACTCACCCTCGTGAGCCCGTCCTCACTCACCCGCGTGCGCCCA